TGGTCATGATTTATCTTTTGGCAAACATTATTTCACCGTGTGTGACCCTCAACTCGAACATTGGCTTCTGCATGATGATTTGGGAATCTTTACTCCCTGATTTGTTAATGATATGATTTAGGGCGCTTGTCGCCCGTCTTTCTACAAAAAAATGGGCAAGCTGCCCTGATACAAGGAAGTCAACGACATGATACTGCACTTTCATTGGAAGCTCGTTTCTCATGTGGAAATCAAAGAAACAAAACACAATCTTAGCTTGAGACTGAGTATAGAGCATTAGCATTTTTGGTGCGTGAAGTTGAGTGGTTAAGAAAACTGTTGACAGAATTGAGTGTGAAGATACCACTTTCAGTGACCATACTTTGTAACAACAAATCAACAGTTCACTTTGTTGTAAATCCAGTATTCCAGGAGAGGACAAAGCATTTCAAAATTGATATGCATGTCACCAAGGAGAGAATCAATTATGGTTTGGTCAGATTGCAATATGTTAGAACCATTAATCAATTGGTTGACATATTTACCAAAGGGATGGAGAGGATACAGCTAAAGGAGCTTTTTTGCAAGTTGTGAGTCTTGTAAGCATCCACAACTTGAAGGGGGTGTCAGCTGGGTGAAGAAGAAGAGTTTCAGATAAATTATGGTGGCAATAGGATTTGTGATATGAAGAGGAGTTTCGAGGAGAAGAAACTTTTCTATTTCGTTTGTTTTTAGCATTGTCTTTATTAAAACGTTGGCGTGTTGGTCAATTAGTTGTAGTTATCCGTTGCTGAATACTGTTTAGTTTTGTAATTGACCATTGTCATTCCACCATGTGGATACTCGAATTTTTATTTCGGTTAAACTGTTAATCATCGATATAAATACACAAGAGAAAGCAACCCTACAAGTTGAGGGTGCTAGAATTCCCCAATATCTTTAAGTTTTCATCTTTAGGAAGAGGATGAAAAGGTCCATGCAAGATTTACAAACATAGTTGGGGAGCACTAGAATAGGGTGGAAGTAGCAGAGATAACAATATAGGTTAGAGGCAATGAATGTTGAGATGGATGAGTTGATGAGCTTTTTTTAGATGTGAATCAATTAAGGATGAACATGACATATGAGATTTTTGGGACTTTGAATATGCACAAGGTGTTATATTTCTTGAAGGGTTGACCTAATTTCTCGTGGGTTTTAGGGATCCGGTTTGATGAAGTTTAAGCGGCATAGGATTCCAAGAATTGTCGGTAGCCATGGTGGAAGAAATTTGTCAATGAGATTAAGAAGCATCGACATGGAGTTTGGTTACACTATGTTTGGGAAGGGGTGTAAATGGAAGGGGGTGCAAGTTTGGAGGGGTAAACACAAGTTCCAAGGTGTTTACCCCCGTTTGGTTATTTTGTAACAGTAGGGGGGTGCAAAACGTGAGCGTAAATTCACTGTTTCGGCTTACCCCCCAAATTGGGGTGCAAGGGAAGGAAGGAAGGGAGGGGGAAGGGGGAGGAGGGGAATTATGAATTTTTAATTAGATTATAATTACATAATAATTAATATTATTAATTTCTTATATCTATATTAGTGTAGAAGTTGTTTGGGGTTGACCGTTTGACTCAGAGAGCAAGTTTGTCAATGTTCGCCTCGTCAAATCGATATCTCTTAGTTGACCCGAATTTGCATTGAAAATTAGAGATAAGAAGCATTTGTTGAAAAGATAGAGAGGAACAGTTTAGTTAAGTCGATTTACTTTAATAAGTAGTTAAAACTTACAGATTCGAACGTGTTTGACTAAGTTTGACCATATTCAATTTAAAGTTAGGCACGAGAACCCCCTTAGGATGACCAGTTACGAGTTGGATTTCGAGTTTCGAGGTTGCTCGACCAATGATTATTATTGTTGCTATAAATAATTAGATTTGAGCATTATTATATAATAATTATTTTTATTAAAATTATTTTTATTTATTATTTTTATTATTATATATTGAATTTTCATGTTATTATTTTGTGATAATATTTTATAAATTGATAAATCTATTTTATAATAATATAATTACTTACTTTTTACTCTATTTGCACCCCCTTACTTTTTCATTCAAACAACAATTTACCCCTCCACTTACACCCTCCACCAAGTTGCACCCCCCAACAATTTACCCCTCAACTTGTACCCCACTCGAACTTGCACCCCCCTTGTTGCCAAACATAGTGTTGGGTTATGAACCAAATCTTCCACAACAATCCATCACTTTGAGTGTAATTTTTACAAGTGCTAAACCAAAAACTACACGAGAGCTTTGATGCCATCATTGTTGGAGATGGAAGAAGCGTTGCAGAGGCTGTTGGGTAATGATTGTACCAGGTTGGGTAAGAACGCGACAATGGTTGTTGTGTCTTCCTATGCGATGCTTGTAAAAATAGGTTGGAACGTATTTTTTCCTGGTTTGGACGTATATAGATCTCTAACTCTGTATAGTGGCTGCATTGGGAAATATCCTTTTCAAGATTTAGTATACATTTGTGCTGGGTTAATTACATGGTTGGTCACTAAGATTACAAAAAAGTTCAAGTTTGGTCACTCGAAATATTTGAATCTGTTGGGTGTATGGCTCGGGTCCAGTCGCGCCAAGGAGCCAGCGCAACGCCGTCTCAGACGGGTCAGACGCGTTAGCTCCAACGTAACCAAAGCCGCGTTCACAGCCGTGCCTACGCGAGAAGCTCGAGCGCGAGGAAGCCTCACCCGCGGACGTGAACTCCAGATGACCGAACGACGGCGTTTCAACCAAGAGTGACTAGGCCAAGTCTACCTCGAAAACGACACCCTATCCCCCGAAGAATGGTCACATCAGAGTCATAGGTACAATCATGGGTAAATCTCCTAGTCCTAGGTAGGAGTATGGTCTAAAGTTCTGACATGTCAGCAGTCTTGTCACCATGTAACTCACCCACCACCATGTAGCCTATAAATATGGCATTTACTCCGGTGGGTGAGGGGATCGCATTTTTACTCTCTCACTAGACTTGCGAAGAACTCTTTCTCTCTCTAAGAATATCCCCGTTTCTAGACCCTCTGTTGCTTACTCTTCTCTTCTCACCCCCTTTTCCGAGTCCACCTCCTACCCTCAGTTGGACTCAAACAAAATCCATTGGTGATAATTCAGTTTACTGAAATTGTTCATGTTTGGTCACCCTCCGTCCAACTCCGTTAACTTTTGCTTACGTGGCGGTCAACTTTAAAAGTTGATCGTTAAGTGAGTGACGTGACAATTAAAAAATTAATAAAATTTAATCTTTTATAATTTCCACCTCATTTGTAACTATTAACAAGATAAAAACAAAATTATAGATTATTAAAATTAAGAGGAAATTATAAAATATTAACCCCAAAAATCATAAATTATAAAAGATTAACCCACAAAATTATAAATTACGTCTTCTGCACTAAATCGACTTTGAAGTTGAATTAAGTTTGGGCCAATACTACGGTGGCGCTATAAAAAGTAAGACACCCGTGACGCAACTTTTAATTGGTCCACGTGGACTATTATGTGACGTGGGCTGATTTAATGCAATCTGTGTATCTGAACCCAAACCCAATGGCCGGGAGATATCCTAAACAGAGAAGCATTATTCCGTCTACCTAGTTATCATCCGTTTAGCTTCTTTTCTTCCAATAATTAAGTTAAAAATCAATTAATTTTTAAATGCATTTGTTTTTCTCCTGGAACGAAACAAAAACAGGGAACGAAAAGGCAATGTGAGAATCTGGCTCTCCGTCCACCCCGCGTCGGAAAAATCGCGGTTGCTCGACGGCGGCGCGAAAGAAGACGAGAGAAAGAGAACGAGGTGGAGAAGGAAGAAAAGGTGGTGGAATTCAATTCGCGTCGCGGCGGAAGAGGCATTCGCTCGATTTTGAAGAAGCTGTTGTCAAAAGTTTAATTGGCGATCAAGTGAATTTTAATAATTTATAATTTTGTTTTCATCTTTTTAATACTTAGAAGAGAGGTAGAAATTATAAAAGATTAAAAATATTATCATGACGATTAATGATAATTATTAAGATAGGGATGATAATAGGTCTGGACGGGATAATACATATATGACCAAAACCAAATTAGTTCGGGTAATCTATATATTGACATTGCATAAGTGAAAATTACAAAAATAAATTACTAGAACTAATAAAATTAGTTAAAAACAAAACAATATCATGAAAATATTAACTATATATAATAAATATCTAATCTATTGAAAAAATTAAATGATAATTTTCGAACAAAATACATATACATATCTATTGTCGGATAGGTTTAGGTAGGATAGTAAGAAAACTATGTCCACCCATCACCCGCAACATACACATTCGAGTTTTACTCATACCCATGAAAATTCATTCGAATTCGAGTTTTACCTCTCTCACAATTATGTAAAATTCGAACTGGATATCAATAGATACTATTACTTTTTACATCCCTAAATTAAGATAATCTTATAAAATATTAATTACGTGGTTCTAATATAAATGTTCAGGCCGGTGTAAACATTTCGATAGCGACCGACACCCGCCACATACATAGAACCACCAGCACAGTTAAGTTCCAGGATTTACTTTGACCTGTCTGCCCTCTCGTCATCGAATAGTGTCGTATCATCCAGAATTGAATTTTCGCCGCCCACGTTTCCTTGGCCACAAAGCAAATCCTGGATATGTTGGAAACGGGAAAAGTCGCACCGTTAGCGTCCCTTTGCTACTAGCTAGACTTGATTCAAACATTGGTGATGAAGACTATATGAGGAAAGTAATAATAAGTCAAATTCTTGTTCCTTGATCTCCACGGCGATATGCGGCTTCCTCTACCCAGCAACCATCATATTCAGCATCACCATCACTTACTATTTTCTCCAGATTGAACTTTCCCCGCCCTTTCCCTAAGCTCCTTCATTTTTTGAATACAAACCTGAAACTTCCATCCCTTCCTCCTTCTTACTAGTATAAATACACATTGTTGCCAGCTAACTAGGAAATCACAAAACAAAGCCTACCCTTGCACCTGAGACTTGTTCCTTGAAACGTACGTATTAGTACAAATGGGTTTGGTTACAGGCATGTTTAGTGGCTGCTTCCAGCTTGTTCCTTCTTCTCACTATGCCCCCTCCTCCAAGGTCGCCGATGCCACGACGAATCATCACCATCATCATCATGATGTTCATGGAGTTCATCAGGATCAGAAATCCACTCCGGCGCTGGCTCCGAATTCCAAAAGCAGCAACTCATCATCATCATCTGGACATCATCCAATACTAGTCCATTACTTCCCAACCAATTCATACATGTCCCGACCCTGCCTCTGAGTCCATCCACTATCTAGCTACTTCATTTTATTCGTTTAATTTTGATACAGTCTTCTGTAAAATTGTACCCTTCAATTCATTCTATATGTATTCACTACTGCTTACTACCGAAAGATTTTGTACCAATTCTATTCCGGTGAATTAATAAGAGTCCCATTTTACTTCAATTCCAGTCAGTCTCGCTGGACGAGGTCAAAACTAGGGCTGTCCATTTGGTTTTGGTTTTTCGGTTTTAAGCAAAACCAAACCAATTGGAAAAAACCAATAGAAACCATTAAGAAACCAATAGGAATAAAATTATTTATCAACAATTTTTTTTCTTCTTTTGACACGCATGCCAACAAATAATTTGTAATGGCTATTTACCATTATTATGACATTTATTCAATAAAAAGGAGGGAAATGGGAATAAATATGAGTGTATGAGTACATGTTGGTTTTTTGGTTATCCAAACCAAAACCAAAACCATTAAAGCTCTTATTGGTTTTTGGCAACCGAAAACCAATAAGGGTCTTAATGGTTTTGGTTTTGGTTTTTGAGAATTTGGTTTTGGTTTTTCATACTTAATGGTTTGGTTAACCAAACCAAACCAAATTGACAACCCTAGTCAAAATACAAAGAAACAAAGTATTTGGGTAAATTGCTCATTAGAATTACTTAAAAATTTCATGTTTGTCACTAAATTAAATTATTCCATTTGTAATCACTTAAATTTGGTCAACAGTCCAAGTTTGATTACAGACCGTTAGTCTCCGTTAACTTTTGTTGATGTGGCAGTTAACTCTCGTTCACTACCAAACCTTAATGAGCTAGCAAGAGTTGACCGAGGAAGAGTGCTTCAAGGCAGTTCATGATGGGTGATAGTTGGAAGGGAGAGATAAGGTTTTTGGCTGATGCTAATGGCCTTTGATTGAAGAGAAGGGTTTTAGTCGAAATCATAGAACCTTCGGGTTTAGTTTGAAGATGTAGAACCTCATGTCATGATTTTCACCACCCTAAAAACCTTTTTCCCATGTCCAAGACAATTTCCAGTCATCTGAACCCATGTCTAAGGCATCGGGACGAGCTAGTGGTGACAACCATCCCGTGAACTATAGCATTTAGAGGTTGTCGCCGTGGTATTGAGACGATAGGGCCGAGAGGTTATGATTGTGCACATCTTTTGCACCAAAAAGGTCCTGACTCCACTAGTCTTGAGAGTGAGTGATTCATTCTTGTTTTACTTACCATTTCATACCCCGGTGAGGACCTTTGTTGCTTTTCCATTTGTTCCTCGGACTTGAATTCCATGCATGGTTGGTTGTGGTTGATAAGTGGTATTGTTGAGACTTGCATTGATCCATGAATAAGGTGAGAACTTTTCGTTTGCCCGTTTTTGGTGGCTTCGAATGTCGTTTGTGGTGGATGTCGGTATTGCTTGCAACGATCCATGTGTTGATTGCCAACAACCATTGAGAATTCCCACTTCGTGCCCTTTGAGTTGTCCCCAAAGTATTTGTGCAGGTTGAAATAATACCTTCTGTGAAATGGTTTGCTTGTGGACAAGCAAACGTCTAAGTGCAGGGGAGTGATTCTGGACTAATTGCACATATTTTTGCCCCCATTTTAATTAGGTGCTTGTGCCAAATTCACTCCTAAAAAGTTGGTTTTACGCTAGCTTTCTCGTGTTTTAGCATGTTTCAGGATTCAACAGGTGAAACTAGCCTCGGAGTCGAAAGTTGGGCGAAAAGGATCGAAAACCGGGAGAAGAGGTGAAAAAGGGCCAGTAGACGGCCTTCCCAGGAAGTTCACGGTCATTCAAGACCGTGAAGAAGAGCCCCTGACCGTGAACCGCGAGGCGTCCAGAGCCGAAACAGAGGTTACTTACGCATGGTTAGTTCACGGTCACTAAGAACGTGAACGAAGACAGTTGAACGTGAACAGAAGTGAATGATGCGACGCGTTTTGGCGCACGCCTGAAGTTCACGGACGCGTTTCATGGTTCACGGCCGTGAACTCAAATCGTTTCTGGTTTAAATGATGAGGTGAAAAGAGGAGAGAGGGGAGGGCCCATTTTGTGTGAAAAGCCTTCTTCAACATTCAAGAGAGAGAAACATGAACCAAAGGGAGAAGAAGGCTAGGGTTTTGCTTCAAGGCTGATTTTGGGAAGATCAGCTCAACTCAAGGGCAAGAAGAATGGGAGCATCCTCCAAGATGGTTTCCACCTCTTTTCCTTTTGTTTTTCCCACTTCTAGCAATAGAGTAGACCTCCTTTCACTTGGGTGTTGTGAAACCCTAACTCTACCATGTAGTTTTCTTTTATGTGTATTGGATGATTGTCATTGGGTATTTTTCAATTCAATGATTGAGGCATTATTTATCATGATTGTGCATGCTTGTGCTTAGCAACCTAGGGGTTGTGCATGTTTTGTGCTTAGCATCCTTAGGTTTGTCCATTTAGGTGCTTAGCAACCAAAGAATTGTGCAAAATTGTGCTTAGCACCCTTAGGTTTGTGCATGTTGGTGCTAGCAATCTAATTAGCCACCTTAGCCTAGCTTAGAGAGGAAAATCCCCCTTCCAAGGGAGACTCAATCGAATTGATTTTCCTTTCGCTTTCTAAGCCACCTAATTAGGTTAAGTTAGGGCAACCCTCAATGTTGACTTAAGCAAATCGGTTAATTGCGATTAAACCGTCCGACCTTTGAGTTGAGTGAGGGAGTAAGTCAATTACCGATTTTCTAAACCGAGAGGGTCGAGTGACACGGCCTTTCATGCTTACCTCGGTTTAGCAATTGAGATTGTGGTCTGTGAAAATATATGCATCCCTCTGGGGTTCGCGATTACCGTGCCCAAAGCAATCGTTCCAATTCACATATCATGGTAGCAGTTAGGGGGAAGCGACACCCGAGTGATCCTTCCACAAAAGAGTTTCCAAACCATTTACCTTTGCCTTCTTTTATTTCAATTAGCAAACCTTTAAACCAAAACCTTGTTGCTAGATAATGATTTCAACAACCGAAGTAGGGGTAGACGGACCGGCCCGGGTCGATATCTAAATACTTGCCATATAGTGCACCCGACTAGAGTTTAAAAACTTGGGCTCTAGTTGGTATTGAATTGTGGTGTAGTTTCGTGCGAGTCAATTTTTTGGCGTCGTTGCTGGGGACAACAGTCTGTTATCTTGAAAAAGTTGTTGGTTGTTCATCTAGCTTTTAATTTTCAGTTTTGCAAGTGTGTGTTCTTTGCTTGTGCTAGACTTGGTGTTTTCCGATTGTGTGTAGGTGGTGCATGACCCGGAGCAACCCAACACCTTTGCTACCACTTGACGAGCACATAAACCGAACTCTTGGACTCCTAGAATGGGAGAGAGAGCTAGCGTAGGCAAGGAGAAGGAGTGAAATAAGGGGACAACATTTGGGTCCCGGTGTTAGTGGAGAAGAAGTTGAAGAAGTGGAAGTTGAACCTGTCGGTGCAGTAGGAATAGCGGAGAACCAAAGGCAAGATGGAGCCCAAGCCCATCAATTAAACGATGCGGCGGGGGAAGAGGAAGCCCCGAGGACGATGGGTTATTATATGGCCCCAAGGTCGGCGGACATTCAATCGCCGATCCTACATCCTTCGGTGGCGGCAAACAACTTCGATATCAAGTCGGCTCTAGTGAATATGATACAAAGCATTGCTCTATTCCACGGCCTTGAGAGCGAGTCACCAAGAGAGCACGTGCAGAGATTCTTGGAGCTCGCGGAGAGCTTGAAAATCAATGGTGTATCGGCCGAAGCTTTGCAACTAAGGCTTTTCCCATACTCACTCTCGGGGAAAGCACTTAGGTGGCTAAACAACCGCCCACCTCGGTCAATCACCTCATGGGATGACCTCCTCAACAAGTTTATGGCTCGTTATTGCCCGCCTTTGAAGACGGTGGAGTGGAGAAAGAAGATTACCCATTTCGAGCAAGAAGAAGACGAGACCTTGAGGGATGCTTGGGAGAGGTACTCCATTTACTTTCTTCAGTTCCCTCACCATGGGTTTGAAGAACAGTTTCGGATTGAAACCTTCTACGGAGGCCTAATGCAAGAAGATAAGATCCTTATTAACTCTTTGTGTCAAGGGAAGTTGATGAATATGGCTCCACCCCAAATAACCGAGATACTTGAAGATATGGCCCTTAGACTAACTCCAACCCAAAAGGTTATATTTAGCCTCTCAAGCTTTCAAATGTGCATTTTTACCTTCCAAAAACACTTTTTTGCTCCAACCCCAAACCTTCTAAATTTGCCTTCCGAACTCATAACCAACCAATCAAAAATTAAGAAAGTAAAAAAAAAAGATGCTTTAAAGTGGAGGGCCCCAGCGTGTGGGCTTGGGTTCCATGGTTGGTCCCCCCACCTTCTCCTTGCATTTTTCCATATGAGCTTCTATCTATCCACCCCCAAGCCCACTTCTCCAAATTTGCAAGCCAAATAATTGGTGGGTTGGAGACAGTCTTAGGGGGTATGATTGGCGGTTGACTAGAAGTGGAAGGAGAAGCAATGATAGGGGAGTGAGAAGCGTGGGAGCGAGTGCTCCGCTTGAGGCAAAGTTGGATAAGTTGCTTGAGGTTATGCTTGAAGATAAAAGGCATGGAAAACGGGCGGTGATGTCGTGCGACTGGTGTTCGAGCACTAGCCATGAGATGGCGGAGTGCCAAGCAATGAAGGAGGCAACCACTCTGGAGGAACAAGTCAACTTCGTGGCAAATGCTAGGGTCAACAACCTGTATAGCAATACTTATAACCCCGGATGAAGGAACCACCCCAACTTTTCTTGGTCATCACCGACTAATCCGAGGCCCCCGGGTTTTCAAGGCCCCACGGGGAACTTCCAACCTTCATCCAACAAAGACCTTAAGTTCAAGGCTCAATCTTCCAACAACCGAAGATTCAAATTCGAAGAAATATGCCAATATAGCTTCAGTGGATCTATACGACAAGGTGCCCTAGGGTTTTAACAACAACATCAACCCGACAAGTTATCCAAGCTTGAAGACCTAGTGAACACCTTTGTGAGTACGAGTAGCCAAAAGTTCGAGAAGATAGAGCAATTCATGGATGTGGCGACTACCAAGTTTACCTCGGTTGAGGCGGGTCTTCGAAGCCATCAAGCGAGCCTCCAAAGTTTGGAGGTGCAAATCGACAATCTTGCCGGCATCCTCACCGAGAGACCCAAGGGAGCCTTACCTTCCCAAACCGTGACGAACCCCAAGGATCAAGCCGGGGTGAATGCACTTCAACTAATAAGTGTGAAGGTGGTTCCGGAAGTTGCCACTAATGAAGTGA